TCGGAACTGAGTAAGCCGACACAGACTGAAGGTTGATGTCATTAAGTTCTGCCTGTCCCCAAAACAACTGTGTTTATCTAAATTTTGGTCGCCTTGGTTGTCCTTGAAGAACATCTTATCTAAAGTCGCCTGGAGAACATGTGATCTGACGCTCACCACCCCCTCCCTGAGGAATTTCCAACTGATAACCAGATGAAACCCCACTGAATAAACTTTGTGTCATCATTTCAGGACTCTGGATTCTTATAGAGGTTATCCATGGCCATTTCTCAACATACCTCGAGAATGTTTATGGATCTCACCAGAGGACATTGACTAATTACAGTCACCTCGAGAGCATCTATAAGCGTTGTTGACCGCTCTCGTCTCTGATTGCAGAATGTCTACGTAAATATGTGCTTGTTTGTGCGAGGTGTTTTTTCAATATTAGGGGTTTTTCTCAGCCAAGAAAAAAGTCTGACAGAAATTTTTTTCCAAAAATTTTTTGGCCTTAGGATTGCGTCTCTGCTTTTTGCAGATGATGTGGTCTTATTGGCTTCATCAGATCATGATGTACAGCTTTCGCTGGAGCAGTTCGCAGCTGAATGCGACGCGGCCGGGATGAAGATCAGTTCCTCCAAATCCGAGGCCATGGTCTTGAGCCGGAAAAGGGTAGAGTGCCCTCTCTGGGTCAGGGAGGAGGTCCTACCCCAAGTGGAGGAGTTCAAGGATCTTGGGGTCTTGTTCACGAATGAGGGAAAAATGGAGCGTGAGATCGATAGGCCGATAGGTGCAGCGTCTGCAGTGAAGCGGGCGCTGTACAGGTCTGTTGTGGTGAAGAGAGAGCTGAGTCAAAAGGTGAAGCTCTCAATTTACCGATCGATCTACGTTCCCACCCTCATCTATGGTCACGAGCTTTGGGTTGTGACCGAAAGAATGAGATCTCGGATACAAGCGGCCGAAATGAGTTTTCTCCGCAGGGTGTCTGGGCTCTCCCTTAGAGACAGGGTGAGAAGCTCGATCATCCGGGAGGGACTCAGAGTAGAGCCGCTGCTTCTCCACGTCGAGAGGAGCCAGTTGATGTGGCTTGGGCATCTGTTTAGGATGCTTCCTGGACGCCTCCCTGGTGAGGTGTTCCGGACACGTCCCACCGGAAGGAGGCCCAGAGGAAGACCCAGGACACGTTGGAGGGACTATGTTTCTCGGCTGGCCTAGGAATGCCTCGGGATTTCCCCAGAAGAGCTGGCCCAAGTGGCTGGGGAGAGGGAAGTCTGGGCCTCCCTACTTAGGCTGCTACCCCCGTGACCCAACCCCAGATAAACGGAAGAAAATGGATGGATGGATGAATGGATGGATTTTTTTTGCCTCCAACTCCTACATGTGTCCAGTTAACCACTATTTTTGTCTGTCCAAACAGGTCTCACTTGTAAATGAGTCTTTGAGGCTCAATGTGATTTATCTGTTTAAATAAAGGTTGAATGAAAAAAAAAAAGCAGCAGACAAGTCGAATCTTGGCTTCATTGCCGTCTCCCATCCTGAGATCCTCCATGGCGATCACGCGCCACTTTCCATCCCGTTCTGCACACAAGTAAGCTGTGCAGTCAACATCATTTTCTCTTTAAATGTAATGTGTCCATGTTGGTCAGAAGGCAACAGCAAAGCGATAGAGTTTTTGGGGTGGTAATGGCTGAGCATTTTTCCCAACTCATACTTTGAGCACAACACATGCATAACATTTTTCTGAAAACTGTGGCATTGGGGGGATTCAAGATGGCGGCAGCACAGTAAGTCACGTTTTTTGTTGGGATCATGTCAGATTCAGGGTGCCCTTCCCTTGAAACTGACCCTCTTCTTTGGTGGAAAGTCCATCCATCCATCCATTTTCTTTACCCGCTTATTCCATTTTGGGTCACGGGGGTCGCTGGTGCCCATGTCCAGCAATCACTGTGCGAGGGGCGGGGTACACCCTGGACGGGTCGCAAGTCCATCACAGGGCCACATAGAGACAAACGAGACAAACAAACATTCACTCTCTCACTCACACCTAGGGACAATTTAGAGTTACCAATCAGCCTAACATGCATGTTTTTGGACTGTGGGAGGAAACCGGAGTACCCGGAGAAAACCCACGCATGCACGGAGAGAACATGCAAACTCCACCCAGAAGGGCCCCTGGACCGGGGTTTGAACCAGGGACCTGCTCGCTGAGAGGCAGCAGCTCTACCAGTTGCGCCACCGTGCTGCTGGTGGAAAGTCAATGAGGACAAATACAGCCACACGCTCTAATCTTGCTACCTCTGTTGCTAGCGAGCGGGTTTCCTCCACCGCTGGAGATAATGTCACTGCAACTTTTGGCAGAAAATGTGGACAAGTTGGTCTTTTTGGCAAAAAACTTAAAACTTGATTAGTTAGATTGTAAACAGTCTGTTACTGCTTATTCTGGTTCTGACTGTTATTGTATTTATTAAATTTTTATTATTGTTAGTAAAGTGTATTTATTGTAAAGAGTGACGTTTATTTAAAATATCATCCAAATGGGTCGCTGTTATTTATTTTTATACAAACGTATTGTTTACTTGGCATAGTTTCAAAATAAATATTTTGTAAGTCTTCATTTTGGCCTTTTTTGTACCAAAAATTAACCGAAACAAGTCCTCCTTGAAAGTGAACCGAACCGAAATGTGATTTTAGAATATCGTTACACCTCTAGTTTGAAGGAATTCCAAAGAACCACCAGGGAGGACGCAGAGCACGAGGATTGTGAAAACTGAGGCGCTTGTGACTCCGTGCTTTTTTGCCTTTGTGTGTAAGTATGGAGGTAATAGAAATAGAAACACTCCATGGCAATGTGGCCTATTATATGTAATTAAAAACAAGGGGAGCTGGCGGGGGGGAGTATAAAAAATGATGAGGAGGGGAGGAGTTTATTCTCTCAGAAGTCTGGTTTAGTTCTAGTTTCAAGAAATCAGTTGTTTCTTTTTGTTATGGGTAGTCACTTTCCGAGTTTTGTTTTTTCTTTATAACTATGGCGGCCACCAGGAGTTGCAACAAATTTACATTTCACATTTTCATTACATGTCGGCTCCTCTGCTGGTCTGCTCCTTCCCTGGAGGGCTGCATCCTCATTTCTGGGCACGTGATTGCCTGCGTGCTGCATTCAAAGCAGCAGCACTTTGGACGCCCTGCTGTCTTGTTTTGCTCGTACATGGTCACGCTGTTTCCATATGACGTCAGCTGCTGGGCAGCGACTTGGACTGGCGGTGCATGCCTCTATGAACCCTGATGTCCGAGGGTGGAGAATGGGACGTTGCCAGTTGTTCCAGTAATTGAATTGTTTTATTTGTTTGACGTTTGGAAAGCTCTTTTGGAGTCCTAGCTGCTTTTATTTATGTCAAGTTTTCACTGCTCAGTTTGTCACAAACACATTCGAACAGAGAAGTCCGACAGGACGACGAGTTTAAAGCAAGTTTAGTTTCCACAGTTTGCTTGTTTTAAAATATAAAAAAAGCCTTTAATGTGTCAGAAATGCAGATAGTCTTCCTCACTCTTCATTACTGAACAACCTCTTTATTGTTATTGGAGTGACATTTTGAAACTGAAGCATTTTAAATAAGTCTGATCAGTTGATTTATCGATTTGTTTTGTGTATTGCATGGTTTTTAATGATTGTTTTAATGGACTAATAAAGAATAGTATTTGTATAGAATACAGTCTGTGTTCAAGTGCGTTTATGGACCTCAATTAGTTTGGTTAAAAAAATTTAAAAGAATTCTCCCCACTGGCGTTGTCGATTCCTGAAATGAAAATCTCTGAAATCTATCCCCACCTTCTGGTCACAACACTCTACACAGAAATCAGTGATGTGTGCATCTGTCAGCTTCAGAGGGTACAGAACGCTGCTGCACGGCTTTTAACTAGACACCAAAGTTTGACCACGTTTCTCCTGTTTTATCCTCCCTGCACTGCTGCCCGTACATTTTAGGATTCTTTTTAAAATTATTTTATTTGCGTTTAAAGCTCTTAGTGGACTTGCCCCCCCCCATCTGTCCGAGTTGCTACAGCCGTACACACCCTCTCGATCCCTCAGGTCATGTGGTCAGCTGTTCCTGAGTGTGCCAATGACAAAGCGTAAGCTCAGAGGAGACCGTGCTTTTGCTGTGGCAGCTCCTAAACTGTGGACCGACCTTCAATGAACATCAGACAGACCTCTTCCATGTCTGTTTTTAAATCCCTTCTTAAAACCCATCTCTTCTCCCTGGCTTTTGACACCATCTGAGATGTTGACTTCAATCATTTTAATCATTTTTATTATCTGACTGTATGATTGTTTTATTATGTGTACAGCACTTAGGTCCTGTGGCTCTTTAAAGTGCTCTATAAATAAAGCTGGTATGGTATGGTACCCCTCTCTCTGTGTGTGTTAATCTCCCAAGTCAGGATGAGTACAGTTCTGGACGGACCACCCTGACATACTGTATGATCCTGACACCCCCCCCCCCCCCCCACCACCACCATCATGTTAACTAACCCTCTATTCTGAGTGACCAGACTGTGTGTCCCTTGAAGATCTAAGAAAGTTAAATCTGGTCCTCTGGACATTCAAAAAACAAAACAAAACAAAAAAAATTGTGGAAATGTTTTGTTTCTCATCTGAGACTTCCTCAGTCTGAGGTGCTGTATTCAGCTCAGTCTCCTAAATAGCACCGTCTCAGAGTGGATCAACCAGTTTGCTGCTGACAACCAGAACCAGCTG